GACGGCCGGGTGCTCCTTTCTTCCAACGCTTGCCCTCGCCAAGCCCTCCAGCCTCGATGCTCAGCCAGGCCAGGGCCAGCGTGGCGAGGACGTAAAGTGACGGAGAGCCAAGGCAAGCCAGGCCTGGGCTGTTTTCTAATCCCAGTGTAATTAATGACCTTATCTTTGGCCAAAGCCATTTAGATTAAGTGGCTGGCGTGATGGGCTCGGCGGCTCCGGCTGCACAGATGGAAGAGCTGCGCTTGTCTGGGGATTAGCGGAGGGCAGATGGAGCAAAGTGCCATTCCCCATCCCCAAACCACTCGGCTCTGGCAGCAGCCTGAAACCTGAGACCACAACAACTTTCTCAGTGATTCCTGGCCAGACCTGAGAGCTGTTTCGCATCGCTTGCCCCTTCTGCAGGAGAGGCAGGACCCGGAGCAGGGAGCTGAACAACGGCCAAGGGAGAGCTGCCTCCTGCCCCAGTGCCAGCAACCGATGCAGCCCTCGCAAGGAGCTCGGTTACAGCCCTGCGCTGCGTCCTCTAGACAGCAGAGGTAAAACGGATACCGGCTTCCTTCCTGGAGAGCAACTCGTCACAGCGATGCTGGCCCTGGCTCTGCTGGGTATCAGAATAAAGCCTTCTGGCCACCTCCACAGATCACACCTGATAGAAAAGAAAACTCACCTGCGTCTTGCTGCTCAGCATCCGGCAGGATCAGAGCATGTTTCCACCTTCTTTTCCCAGTCCGGCCACAGGACGGGCAAGCGAGTGCGACAGACCCGTGTTCTCCTGGGACACAGGGAGCTGCTACCCCCAAAGAAACGCGCGGTGCTGGGCAGCACGGAGCGGGAGACCCCCTCCGAGAGCGGGCCCAGCTCTGCCTGCGGCACAGCATCCGCTGTGCCCAGCTCTTACACACAACTGGCAGACTAGCAGCTATCGTGGTAGGGGAATAACATTTATCTGCAGGGATAACAAAGTTCATATTAAACCGATTAGGGATATTAAATCCATTTCTAACAGTATGGTCATCTGACTGGACTTAGACAGACCAGATAATCCCACCCCTTATTCTCGGAGCTGCCTTCACGATCCCAGCCCGTGCCGTGCTGGGGAGATGGGAGGACTGTACCTCTTGTACTGCTACATCTGCGCAGAGAGGAAGGGCAGACCTGGATGCACTAAGCCGGCAACCCAATCTTAGTCTATCCACTCTGCTCAGGCAGGCTCCAGGCAACCACACCGTGTTTCAGACCATGCTCAGCACATCAGCGGTGAATGGGACACTACACACGGCCTCGGTCACCCAGACTATGAGAATGCGGTTTCACACCGTCTCCCTCAACGTGGTCCCTTTGCAGTGTGCTCCAGAGCTGGGCAGAGCCCATAGCCCCATACGCTCGAATCAGTGCAGATGGCAAGCAGGTCTGGGCTCAGGAGGAGGTTCAGCCGGCATTGCAGACAGACCCAGCACCACAAACATGGTGCCCAGCACTTCAAAGCCGAGGCACAGCTGGGCCCTGTGCTGCCAGAGAAAAACAAGGTGAAATTCCCAATTCTTCCCTGCTTATCTCCTTCAGTCTGAGCCCCCAACTCACCTCTCACCCCATCAAACTGCCCAAAGGAGCTGCCCGATGGAGCATTACAGAAACAATTCAACACTGAGGAATACAAACCTGAGGTTTAATCTAATCCCCACCAGAGCCTGCATCTCCAGAGCCTGCGATGGCAGATCTGCACACACAGCCCTCTCCCTCGCAGGCTGAGCCCTGGGAGATGTCTCTTGCCACATGGCGATTCCCAAGCAGCTGAAGGAAAACTTTGTGCCCTGCCACCCTGAAGCCCTCCCAGGAGGAACACTCTTGATTGCATTTGCCAGGAGAACCCCAGATGCCCTGGAAAAGGCTCTCCCGGCTTTCACCTGGAGCCGCACACTCCAGGGGGAACAGGGTGGTGCAGACAGCGCTCCCATCCTCCAGGAACAAAGCTGAGCTGTATCGCTGCCTCGCGGCTGCACAGCACATGGAATGTGCTGCTCAGCAACTCCGATTCAAATGCAGAGCTGGTTCCCACTGCCAGACCGCAGTGTAAACCCCCGGGAATTCAGCTTTAACTGGGACAGACTCATCTTTGCAAACCTGATGAGATCATATTCAAGTTCCTGTTTAACAGGTGCCAGCTCTTTCTGCACCTGCTATGTGCCTACAGATCAGCCTGCCTCCAACAAGCCAACAACATCTGCTCAGCTCCCTCAGAAGCTGCAGAAAAGGTGACTGGAAGAAGGGGCCACGCCTGGACATCCTACCCTGAGACCAAAGCAGGGAAAACTAGGCCAGCTGGAATTAGAATTGCACTTTTTAATGGGGAGGGGCACCCACAACAATCTTAAAACTTTATTTCCATATAAAAGGAAAAAAAACCCTCTCCACAATAAAGGCAGCACAAACTCACTCAGCTCCTGAGCTGCACTCCTGGCCAAGCTGGAGGAGTGCAGGGTATTTCTGTCTCTGAGAACGACACGTTCGCATGCCAGCAGGATAGACTCAGCCATTCCAAGGATAATGCTGCGTCTCTGGCAGAGATTAATGCTTGTCATGGGAGGCCGCCCTCCACAGCTTTGCCCCAGGGCCCAGCCATTTTCCAGGCAGGGCTGGAGAAGCATGGGAACACGGCAGGATGAGGCCACATGAAGAGGATCTGTCTCAGCTGACAGCCTTTGGCCATCACTTACACACCTGCCTCATCCTGAACAAACGACTTGGCTCGTTCGCTTCGAGGCCACCCAGGACTAGCCAGTTCCTTGCCGCACAGGTGGAAGCGCTGCTGCTCCCTTCACCAGCTGGTTTGCAGGCCTACGGAAAAGGCAAGCTGCTGTCCTCTCCTGAGGTCTCTGCACCCCCGCTGTCCCCCTCAGCCTCTGCAACGCGGCTGGCGGGGGCCCGCTCTCGTGTCTTCTTCCAATGGTGCAGGTGGGATTTGGATCGTGTGTGAGCTGGAGGAAAAGGCAAACAGAGCATTTAATTCTGGGGAACCTGGAGAAGAAAACACGTTAAGCCAACCCACGGTGCAGAGCACCCTCAGTTCCCATTCTCCCACGTGAGGCCGTTCCCACGGAAGACTGAACTCCCAAGCCCTGCATGGGCTGTTTCGCAGACACACTTCTGCTAGACCAAACCATCGGGGCTGAGAAGAGAACAACCCTTTCAAGCCTTTTCCTGACCAGGGGAAGGACTGCGCAAATGCCCAGGAGAGGCAAAAATCTTGGTGTTGTCCACAGAAAACACCAGATTGTCAGGTCTTGCCTCTCCCAGTGTTCGCTCTTAACCAAGACACAACCGCCCGGAGAACAGCAGAAAGGAAAGCGTTACCAAACAGGCAGCACATTGCAGGATGCGGGTGAGGTTGTGCAACTCCCTGCCACCCCGTGGAGCGCTGCCAGGATCATTTGTAAGCCTAACACTACTGCACTGGGGATATCCTGCACATCTACAGAGCTGATAGGGATGGAGTTCGCAGCACAGTTATGCTTTTGCGTAACTCCAGGGAAAAGCCCCCAGCTACGAGAGCACTTCAGGAGGAGTCTGACTGGAACAGAGGCAGGATCCCAGGGATGCAGCATAGTTGGCACTTCAACTTGTACTGACGCACTGGCGCAACAAGAGGCGCGTTTCTGTTTAAAATCGCATAGTTAAAGGCAGCAAAACCTCCTGTGTTGATGGTATTATCTAAGTAGAAGGTGCTTTGTCTAACCAGATCAATGTATCATCTTAGCAGGGTGGTTTTGCTATTTCCAAGAGATCAGAGCAGCAATTATAGGAGCAAACTTTTCAAGCGGGGCCTTAATTAAATGAGGGTATGGGCTTGCTGAATCAAGGCCCTTAGGTGTTTTCCAGTCATCTTTTTTTCTGCCTAAGGATGAAATTACATACAAAGCTGCTGCAGCATTTATCACAATGCTGTAGGGTCACCCTCGGCTTGAAATAAAGTCTCACCTCTTGCAATTTGTTGCAAGCAACACCAAAGCTTACTGTGGCTTCAAGAAGGACTGATTTCTGCTAGTGTCCCGGGAGATCTGCTCTTTTAAGTCTATACAAAGTGTAAAATTAGATAAAACTTAAAAATCTTACAGAGTCAGTGCGGTACTGGGAAGCAGTTCCCAAAACTGCTTGATTTAAGAAAACAGACCAGACTACAGATTGAATCAGCTCACGCTACTGTTTTCACTTCCCTTTGAGCTTTTACATTTTGCAGTTAAAAGCAGTACCCCATTTTGAGCCATTTTCTTTTTCGACCATCTGAGGATTTTAGCCAAATCCAACTGGATGCAGAGAACGTACAGCTTGCTCCAGAGTCAGAAAAGTTTTGTCATCTATCAGGATTTGGGATACCCCTAGAGGACATGTGGCTGTAACTGTAGCTTTGGCGGGGAGTATCTTGAAGAGTTCCCACTCTGCCATGAAACCTTCTGTTCCTGGAAGAACGGCTTGGACTCTGTTAACTTTCAGAGTCCTCTAATTATGGAGTAGGTAAAGTTCCTTCAAAGCACCTCCACGCTAGCACAGCAGAAGTAATAATTCTCACTGAAGTAATAATTACATTTACAAACTGATCTCACTGTGCTTCCCACTCGGAGCCAACTTCCATCATTATGTTTTCAGCAGCTCTCTGGATCAATAACAATAAATGACTTATTCAAATCTGATGACCTGGACAGTACTTATCTTCGCATTGTCTCTACATATACCGCATTTGGGCAACATGTGGAGACCAGTTTTGTTTCTGCAGCCAGTTTCTCAACTAGCTTTTGTTTCTGGTTCTCAGCACCAGCCTCACAGCACAGATGAATTCACTAAGCTAATCTCATTCCAACTGAGCTCTTTTAAAATCTACTGAAAATAGAAAAACCCTTTCTACTACCACTACAGCTAGGAACACTTTGCGGGTTTTTTTGCAAAAACACAAAAAATACAAACTGTTGGAGCAAAACTGAGCCATTAAAAACATTAAGAAACTTTCACTTTAAACAATAAAATTTTAGAAGGAACAAATTTTTTCTGTCCTGTTTGACAAAATATCTCAAGTGCAAAATATCTCCAGACTGAACTTGGACACCTCGGAGGTTTCATGCTACATACAGATCCCCATGTCCGGCGTGACGGCAGAGAGCGGCAGAGCGCTTGCCGGGTGCCGGGGAGCGGGGAGCCTGACAGATGGCTGCTGTGGCACGGCTCCGGCACCCCCTCTGGGCTTGCAAATGGCTGCTTTCATACACGGGCTGTAAACAATCCTTGAAAGCCCAAGATCATGCGCTGAGGGTGATCCAGCCAAGCGGAGACAGCCAAGGAAGCTGCTCCACTCTGGAGAGCTGCCTCGCTCCACTGCCTGTGCAGAACTGCAGTTGCCTCCCAGGCTTTCTCCTTCCCACCTCACCGGATCCTACCTGCCCACTCCCGGTCCCCGATGATGACTCTGTCACAGAGCTCACAGACGTGACGACTCCGTTTGTTCTCATTTACATCGTACTCCATCTTTACGGGCTCTGCTGGGGGCTCTCGTCCCTGTAGATTAAATAGTGCCTCAAATCAGTTTCTGTCAGGTGAACTTGCCCTGGCTGGGTTCACCTTTGTAGGGCCTGGGCTGTGAATTTTCCATCCCCAGGTCAGAGGCTACAGTTTTACCCTGCAAGACCAGTGGAGTACTGGGTGTTAGGGGAAATTCTCAGCTATAGAGATCACATCTCACTGCCACTGCAGGGAAAGTAAATTAAATCCAAGGCTAGACATGCACAGGCATAGCCCCCTGCATGGGAGAGACCAAGTTCCCAGTTACGGGGTCTGGAGACTGCTGAGTAACAGGCTTCTCAGCCACGGCTTACATGTTAACTCTGGTTATCCAATACCTGGATGAAGCTCTCCACAATCTCCAGAGCCGGTTTCACCACATCCTCCTCCCACCTCAAGAGATCAGACACCTCCAAGCCATACACCGGGGGCACGTTGGGCCCAGGGCCTGCAGAGACAAAAAAATAAAAAAAATAAATCACTGCCAGTCACATCCCAGCACCCAAAGCAGTTGGGCAGCAGGGTCCCCTGTGGGGGCTGCGCTGTGACCGGGGGGGGATCTGCACTGCCCACACCTGTTTGCCCTTTAGTATTCAGAAGCAAATGGCACTGGCCTTTCTAAAGCCGAGACTACTAGAGACCTTGGCTTGGGGAGCGCCACCCTTGCAAACAGCAAGAATACCCAAGACCTAAAGCTAGCGCCTTCGTGGCTGTTTGCGTTCAGGACAGCCTTACAAAATCCACCCTCACTGGGATCCCATCACAACTGCAAACACTTTGTCTCTGCCATGGTGCAGAGGGGGCCACAGAAGATCAAAAGCTAGATCCGGGCACAAAGCCACCACACAAAGTGAGGTGCACGCATAGAGCCTGGATTAGGAACGTGCTGGTGCAGGTTCCCACTCAGCTCCTCTATTCAGAGCTGGAATTGCTTGTGCAGCTGCAGGGACCAACACACTCAGCTCCCAGCAGCCGGCGCCGCTTCACTAACACCCCTGATGGGGCAGTTTCAAAACCAACAACTCAGCCCCTGCAAGCCCAGCGCGAGGGCGCGGGGTGCTCACCAAGGCCCAGCCGGGGTGGGACAGCTGCAATCAGAGAGCACCTACTCCTTTCGGCGACGGCGCTGCCCGGCTGCGGCTCACCTGCTGGGAAACATCGGGCGCTCGGCCCCGCTCGGACAAAGCCATCAAAGGCCACCGCGTGCCAGTCTCCAGCAGGTGCTGCTTTTTATTGCTATAACCACAAACAAGTTCCCGGCAGGGCTGATCTGAAGCACACCTGCCACCAGAAAGGTGAGCCACAGCCACCGAGCACACGGCTCCTGGAAAGCTCTTGCACCCAGTCCAAAGCCTGTCTTTTGACTCGAGTTTCTCCTTGCCTTTTTTTTGTTTTGCCCCTACCAAGCACCTTTCAACAAGTGCCCGGCTCCCAGCTGCTGCTCCTGGCCCTGCTCCAAGGCTGGGGCTAGGATGGGGAAGTCCTGCTGGCTCCCAGCCACCACGACGAACACGGTCCAGGCTAGGAGCAGCCAATGGGCTCCTGCTCCTAATCCGGAGGGCAGCTGTCAACTGGGCTCTCTGCCCTGCGCAAGGAGTGTGGGTGGGGGTGTGGGGAGGGGGACTGTGCCCCCTCCTCAAGCCCCTCAGGAGCCATCAGCTCCTGACAGGCTGCAGGGACACGGCGGCCAGCACCACCCACTGCCGTCTGGGCACAGGGCTGAGCGTTTGCCTGCTTTGTTCTGCAGGGAAATTAGCTGTCCTGAAGCCACTTCTGCTGGGAGGGGAAGATTTTTCCTGGACAGGCAACTAGGAGGTTCAAGGGAAGCAGTCAGAAGAAGCCAGACTTTCTGAGCGTCTGGGCAGCGAGGCCATCACCACAGGCTGCCAGCAAGACAAGCACAGACAGCACTGGGTGGGCTGTCTCAGGAGAGCCGAGGGGCTACACTGCAACGGGAAAGGAATCAGCAGGGCCTGGCAGGGGGACCACAGGGGACCGAGTGCTGGTGGCCCCTGGAGGCATCAGACATCTGCAGAGCCAAAGCAGCACGAGCCAGTAGGAAGAATTTGGGCAGGATCCTCTGTCTTGGGAAGACTCTTTCTTATGCAGGGCCAGGAGCCTCCCAGGATGTGGCTTTGGTGACTGACTTTGGGCACGCTCTGCAGCAGGGAGGCACCTGTTCACCCAACTGCAGTCAGAGCTGGCCCCTCCGGGTGGGGAGCTGCCAGGGGCACCGTCCACCAGTGCTTGCGCAGCCCTCACTCGCCTTGGGAGACCACAGAACTGCCCACACTCAACCAGCCAAGACTTGCACCCCACACACACACACACACACACACACGCTGCCCCAAAGCTAAAGGGCCACCAGTCTCCTTTCTTGAGCTGGGAGCAGGAGATGTTCCAAGGAGGGTTGAGAAGAGACGCGAGAGAACAGGGACGACGAAGCAAGGTAGAAGCACAGGACTCACGTCTCAGGAAGCGGTTTCGGACCCATTTGTTCTGCCTCCGGGCATATTTCTTGGTTACTTGTTTCAGAGCCTGGATCCCTTTGAAACAGAGGGAGCAAAGAAAACAAATCAGCTCAACTCTGCAAGCTGAGCTCAGTGCAGAGGGTGAGAAGAGCCTGTGAGCTCCAGGAGGGGATCGCCAAGCCAAAAGTTTGTTCTGGATCGTATAAAGCTCGAGGGAAGTGTTTCTACTGCCTATCTGGAGGTCTCCAAGCCAGCAGTGAAAAGTGGTAATCACAGCTCAGCAGCAGAGCCCTGCCAGACAGGCTGGAGGAGCAGTGGCAGAGCAGAAGGATGAGACAAGGTGCCCAAAATGCCCTCAAATGAGTGCTGGGTGGACAGAGCCCCAAGCCTCTGCCCCAGCAGCATTTAGCAGGTCATACAGTCTATTCAGGGGCTGCACTGCTCTCCTAACACCTAACTCAAATTGTTCTCAGTGCAAACGGAGCCCAGGACTCCTTGTCCTATCCACAGTGGGCCCAGAAAATAGTTTACTAGAGTACAACCTTTCAAATATTTAGTATGAGACTTATCATATCCCTCTGTAATCTTCTCTTTAGTAGACACAACAAGCCCCTTTTGCACTAGACTTGTTTTCAAGCCTTTTATCATTTCTATGGTTTCCTCAGCCTCCATCTCCACTTTGTACTGAACCCTCTGCATCACAGTCTGAGGGCCTGGGACTCCGCTGTGCAGAGAGGAGCAGAGTGGCTCTCTCCTTCCTTTAACAGGCAGCACCTCTGTCCAGACACTCCAGAACAACATCTGGATCAAAGAGCATGTCACTATTGACTCCTTTAGGCTGTGATCTGCTAAATCCCCAGATCCTTTCCCACCATCGTGCTGCTGAACTAGATGCTGTTCTAGCTCTGTTTCATTCCTTCTCTCTAGTCCTGTTCTCCAAAGCATTCACACCTTAGCTGGGATTGCCCAAGCAGGTTCCAGGCCTGCCATGTCCTCCATCACCCAGGTCACTAGCGGATCAGTTCCAGATACCCTCTAAAAAGGAGTCTCTGTCCCCCTGGCCTGGCAGAGGTGGAAGATGCACCAAGAAAGGTGCAGCTCAACTGCAACAAGACCTGCTCCAGCTTCAAGCTTGGTTCAGACCATCACACAGTGTCACTTGGAGCTGCATGGGGCAAGCAGGGCCTGAGAGATGTAAGGCATGCAGGGTGCTTTTCCCACCTTTTTGCAGCAGCAGGGCACTGGTGTCCGGTGAGCAATTCCCCTCGCTGATGAGGTACTCGTGGAACTCCTTGAAGCCGATGGACTGGAAGATGCCATGCTGGTAATCCTGGCTAGAGAACAAGGCCACAGACAGGGGTCAAAGCCATCTCCTGCGGAATGGCAGCAGAGCACAAGCCTCCCCGCAACAGCTGAGATCTCTGGGTCTCACCCAGCAGGGACCCCCCAACTGACACAAGCCCCTGGAGTTGAAGGATGGCAGTGACAGACACATGCAACAAGCCAACCCAGTGCCTTCAGCAATGGCCAGTTTTGCTGTGCAAACACTCAGGCAGCACCAAGTAATTTTTACTAAGGGGAGGGAAAACATCTTGGCAGGTAACAGGGCCATGCATGTGCAGAAGCAGGCTGGGAACAACAGCTCTGTAACAGACCCAGAGCAGAGCAAGAAACAAGCATTTCCCAGCTCTGGTCTGGGACCTTGGTGAGGTCTGGGCAAAATTAATTCACTGCTGAGGCCTAGGCAGGATAAGTCAGTCAGAGCCCTGCATTTGCCTGGCAGGTGGGACTGGGAGCAGAAAGGGAGCTGGCTTCTCACCTACCGGTTCTCAGCTACCTTCTCCCGATTGTAGCGCCGGTGAAAGTCCCGCAGCTCCCCCAGCAGTCCTGCAGCCAGCATGTCGTCCACTCGCTTCTCCAGCCGCTGGTCCAGAGCTGGAAGGAGGAGGGCAGGACATGCTCAGCTGCTCAGAGCCATGTCCTCAGGAGGCCCAGAGCTGGACAAGGTGCCAGGATGCGGATCTGCACTCCCAGCCTCCCAATCCACCTGGGGAAAGCTCTCCTTGTTTGCTAGGCTGTGCAAGTCCTCCGTCATGCCCACTGATGGCAAAGGAATTGCTGCCTCATTCAGGGTGGAGACTGGGGCAGGAGCCAGGGGTCAGCCCTGACCCCACATCGCCCTGCTCAGCCAGCCAGGAGCTGTGCAAAGCCCACTCTCACCTGCCTGGTCTGCATGAAGCCACAAGATGCAGGAATGTGGGTATTTCAGGGGCCCCCCTAACGGTCCCCCACCTTCCTCCTCCTGCTGCCGGTGCAAGATTTCACTATGGGCGATCCCTGTCTCTTCAAAAACTTGGAGGCTCCTGTAAGCAGAGACAGACAGAGCTCAGAGGCTGGGTGAGGATGAGCTTCTCCATCTCCCCAGCGGCCCTGGGGGTTCCAGCAAACGGAACCGTAGACATTTGCTGCGATCCAACCCTCTCACGGTGGAGGAAGGCAGGTTTCTGCCCCTTCCCGTGCCTGGCATCCCAAGCACATCCAGGTCCTGGGGCACAGCACGGAGCACACCAATGGCACCCAAGGAGCCCAGAGCAGAGCCTCCTCTTGTGCCTGGCACTGGGACAAGCCCTGCAGGGGCCCTTTCCAGCCGGGCAGGGCTGCAGGGAAGGGGCCAGCACCTCTCCTCCTGGTGGAGGAGGCTGCAAAGCGTCACCGCCAGTTCAGCCCAGCCCAGGCAGGGAGGTGGAGGAAGCGGTGCAGTGCCTGAAGTGCCCAACCCTCCGTCGCCCCGCACCGTGCGAATGAGGTGGGCGGCCTTCTGCTCCCCCCGGGGCCAGGGCTCTGCAGGTATGGGCCTCGCCAAGGTAGCAAGCCTGGTCTTGCTGCCGTGCTGTTCCCACAGAGCTCAGGTATGTTACTCAGCCAGCACCGCAGCTTGCTCTTTAAATAGCTCCAGATAAAACCCTGCTACTGGGGCACCGCAGCTGGAGCCGGCCCTGCTGCACACAAGCCAGCAGCAATGCCCTGACCTGGACCCTAAAGGCTTTTGACAAGGGCAGTCCAAGCTGGGGGCTGCGTGGCCAAAGACCTCAGGGGTCCAGATCCCACTTTCCCGATGCCACTTGCAGTGCTCCAAGAGCCCCCAAACACCTTGCTAAGAGGCTAGGAGCACCTGCCTGGGATGGGAGGGCCTGTCCTGCCGTGCTCACACGCACACGATTCCTTGGGAAGGGAGGACAGGGTGCTGGCAGGCCACAGCACCCCCTGCTCCCCGCACGCCAGGCTCACCTGGCCACTTTGCGCTTGTCGTGGGGGTGCAGCTTGGCCGCCATCTCAGGGTCCACCTGGCTCAGGCGGCGATGGAGCTCAGCCCCGTCCATCTGTTCCAGCTCCACTTTCCTGTCGATAACCGGCCCAGGGGCCGCACTGCCCTTCTCCTGCAGGCACAAGGCAGTGCTGAGTTGAGCCGCTGATCTGCCCGCAGGCCAGTGCAAGCAGGATGATCCCCCAGACCCAAGTGGTCCATGTGAGGGGCCTGGGGCTTTCCTAACGGCTGCCACGGAGAGTCTCCAGCCCGATGGATCTGGTCCACCCAGATGGGGATAGTGCTGTGTGCCCTTGCCCCCCTCTAGCGCAGGCAGCACCGTGCCCCGTCGCAGCAGCACGGGGCCCACCCTTCTCCGGAGCAACAAGCAGCCCCACAACGGTACCTTGGTGCTGACAAGGACCTTCCAGAGCAAGGCCTCGATGTAGTAGTTGGTTCCTCCCACGACAATCGGGATCTTGTCTCGGGCAAAGATATCTTCAATGTGCCGCGGTCAAGGAGCGTAAGCAGAGACACACGGTGGGGATAGAGGGCCGCAGGGAGCAGCAGCCCAGGGCCCTGCTGTACCATGGCAGCCTCATGCCAGCTGGACCTGCTCCCACGTACTCCATCCCATAGCACAGGCCGTAACGGCCTCTCCCCAGGCCTGTTAGCGCTGCCTCACAGCTTCGGTGTGTCCACGCAGCCCCTCACTGCAGACAGCAAGGTCCTATCTACAAACCCATCCTACCCCCAGCCAGGGTCCCTCTCCCCAGCCCAAAGAAGATGGTGAGGCTGTGGACAGGGTTATAGGTCTTCTCTCACCATCCTCTCCTACCTGCACCAGCAAGCACCAGGATTCAGGACTACACCTCGGGTCTGCTAGGGAGAGCAACATCCAGCTCAGCACTGTTGCAATGCAGCAGGGATCTTCCCTGGCCACTGCTGAGGAGGGGATGCTTAGGGCACTACCTCAGTATAAGAAGCTCAAAGCCCCTCTTGCCAGCATTAGCCTCTGAAAGATGGAGTTAGCAAGGCTGATGCAAACACCGATCTTTCTTGCAGGCCTGGCTGTGGAGGAGGGAAGTCCACATCTGCTTGGCCAGCCAGCCCACGGCATGAAAGGATATCAAAGCCATGGCTTTGTCTCTGAAGTCCACCACTGTGTAGTTAGAGACGAGGGGATCCACAAAGCTGATCATGTGGTGCCTGCACAGACGCTGCTCCTCGGGAGACACCTTGTTGGTGATGATGTCCAAGCCCTTGTACACCTGAGGAAGGGAAAAGCCCATCATTCACCTCTCTGCGCACGTCACGCGAAATCCCCGCTGACCTTCCCTCCTTCCCACAACTACGGCTGGCCACAATCAACCCCTCAGCCCCTTGCGAGGGGAGACGAACTGCTTGCAGCTGCCTTCCTGCTCTTATGTGACCCTGCACAGGCAGTGATGAAAAGGTGCCCAACTGACCAAGCATTCAGGGAGCGCTGTCAGAGCCCGGTCAGAGTAACCTCCAAGCCCAGCTCCGAAGTTCAGTGCTTGGAAACACCAAGCACCGCTGCCTCCAAGCTGCTGGCTCCTTATCTGCTGCAGCAGCAGCTGCTAAAAGTTCAGGTGCGCCTCTCTCCCAACACCGACCGCTAGCACAGCACAAAGTCTTGTCTGGGGACAAGGATCGCTGCTTCCGTGGCACGCGGAGATCTCTCCGAGTACAGCACGGCACCTGACTCCACAGAGCCTCCTGAACATGCAAATGCTCTTAGCTCAGGCACGCATTAAAAGCCTGGCTTTCACCTGCTTCCTGCTCCCAGCAAGCCTCACACAGAGAGCAGGGAAATAGATCAGTTCAGGTCGGTGTCCCCAGGGAGAAAAGAGGCACCAGCTCCTCCTTGCAGAGTCACCAGGGAGCCCAGGGGCAAAAAAGGCTCTTTAGGAGCTTCAGCATCACCGACAGCTCCAAAATCTAAGGAGAGAAGCTGGCGCAAAGCAGTAGGGACGCGCTGCTGGGCTGTACTGTCTGCCAAGGAGGCAGGAGACACTGGTAGGAGTGACCAGCAGCATCTCACTGCTTTGAGATGTGGCATCTCCTGGCCACTGAGCAGCTGTCAGTGTCTTTAATATCAGTTTTGGGATATATAACCTGGGAGAGCAGCCTGAGAGATGCTGACAGTCAGCTAGACGGTTAAAAGTAGAACGGAAAGAAAATCCACCCAAACCAACCCTTCAGGAGCATTCTTGGTAAACAGCCAAGGCAACCTGTGATCCCTACGGCGCACACCACACACGTCTGAGTCACAGCCCGAATCCACCCTCCAGGCTGCACAAAGCAGCAGCAACCGCCTGGCCCGCAGACCCACGCGGCGCTAATACAAGTCTCCCTGGCGAGGGCTGCCCCTGGGCCCTGGCACTGCACCGAGAGCCCGGGACGCGCCTGGCAGGCCGTGCCAAGCGGCAGCTGCACGATGCTCTGCAGAGCTGCAAACAAACACGGATCAGAGCTGGGGCCTGTGCCCCGGCTGGCCCCGCGGACGCTGGCAGCTGGCACGTGATCGCGATGGGGCACATAAAGGCTTTCTGTCCAGAAAGTCCAGCTCTGCGCCGTGCCAAGGACTAAGCACCCTCCGTGCCAGGCAGCGGCTAAGGCACTGCTTCACGTCCAGGGTGCAGGGAGGATGCGTTCAGCTCTCGGCACCTCCCTGCTTGGAGCAGTCTCCCAGCTCGGGACAAACGGGCCTGCTGGGAGACGCACCTGGAAGCGGCTGTAGTAACTTCCTCCTCCATCATCCAGAAATCCACCCCAGCCAGAAGGCCAGACTTCCAGAAACAAATTTCCCCTTAATCCCCTCTGAGAAGCTGCCAGGCCTCCAGCTGCAGTGCCGTCTCCACCCACCGCCTCCCCTGGCCCCAGACCGAGAAGGACAAGGTGACACAGAGGTGACCCGCAGGCACACAGCGGTAGCAAGGGACGACGTGAGGTTACTGGAGCAGGGAAGCCAAATCCCCGCTTGGAGTGGTCATGCGAGCTGCTCGGGCAGCTGAACCAGCTGCAGCCCGGCAAACACTCCCTCTCTTGCCTAACTCCCCTTCCACTTGCTGCTTTGAAGGCGAGCGCCAGCCTCTGCTCCCGCACCCCTCCGCGGCTGCAGTCTCTAGACGGGAAAGGGCCTGGCCCGGGGGCAGGAAGCAAGGCGGGAGCAGCAGGGCAACCAAATGTTCTTCCTCTCTGCCCTGCAGAAATCCAGCTGGCTCCAGGGGACGGGAGGAGACCGAAGGAGAGGCCCGAGGCAGCTCCTTGCCAACGTGCCCCGTGGCTGGCTGGCGCCCCTCCATCCCC